CGTACCGAGACAAGTGCGCAAGAGCTTTGCCGCGGCATCCCTGAGACTCTGCGATTATGGCCCGTGCCGCCGGCATGGAGGGATTCGTTTGAGTATGTGACGGGGGGTTCGCTTCTCTGCTTGGACGCGCTACCCCCCGCGTCTTTGGAGGTCGGTCTCACGCGCTTTACGTCGTTTAGTATGTCGTGCAACGGTGCAGCGCTCTTCCTCGCGCGGCTGCGTCCGTCGCGCGACCAGTTCGTTTTGGCGGCGAGCCTCGCGCAGCTTTCACGTGCGACCAACGTCACGCAGATTTGCGCGATCGACGACTACAACCTCGATGCGTGCACAGCGTACCTCGGTCTCGCAATCTCAATGCAAATGACACACACATCGATCCTTGCTAGCGCTGCCACCGTCGCCGCCGCTCGTGACGTGGTCGGAAACGTGTCGTTTGCGTTGTTTGCGCAACGTGACGACGTGGCACCCGTCGTCTTGACGACGCTGCCTCTCTTCAACGCGCCGGAGTTTGAGCTCTACGCGTGGCTCTTCCTCTCCGACTGGGTATTTGGAAATCGCGAAGTCGTCGCATTCCAGGGTGACTACAGTGCGATCACGGTGCTCCTCGAGTCCGAAAGCCCGCTGCAACAGCCTCCAAATGCGTGGCAAGTCCTCTCCAACGTGGCACTCTACACCCGCGCGGGTGTCCTCTACATCACGTGCGTGCTCCTCGGTGTTGCCGTTATTGTGACCTGCTACATCCTAACCAGCCGCGGCGCTTTTGAGTGGCTCAACATGCTCGAGCTCAGTCGCGTCGGCGGTATCGTCTGGGTCGGTCGACCACTTCTGCTGCTGCGCGCCACCACGGCCCTCTCGGTGCTCTCGACAGCGACGCTCCAGCTTCTCTACGAGAACGAGTCGATAAGTGCGTTCCAGACAGAGCAGAATCCTTGGTACACGACGATCCTCGCGGCCAGCGAGGTCACGTGGCTCGTCGCCGTCGTCAACGACGTGGCCATGGCGGTCACGCAGGCCTACACGGCGCACTACGCGACCTTCAACAGCGTCGCCGTGTGGGCGACCGTCGCCCTTCTCTCGTTCGTTGCGCCCGTGACGCACACCGTGTCATTAGAGCCCACGTGCGACCTCGTGCAGCTCGACTGGCAGATCGTGTG